TTTGGTCACTGACTGCTGTTTGGCCTCCGTGATCGATCGGCTTCTGAACAAACCGCTAAGGCACTCACCGCTTTGGAGGGTTCTTTACTCGATCTGTTGATTGTGGAATTTGGAAACAACAAATTAATTTGGATGGACTTAACCAAATTAATTTTGGGAGGTTTAACATAACTTGGTAGTGTTGTAATTAAAAGGGTTGTAAAGCATAGAGATGTGAAGACAATTAAGACAAACATGCCTCTTTACATTTATTTTAAAAATTAAACCTTGGGCCTAATTAATTGAGTTTAAAAATAAAAAAAAAATAAGCCTACTCACACTACATACAAAGAAATATTTTTGTGCCTATTTTTTCTTACTATTTTCTTGGGCCTAGGGCGGTCGCCCATGTTGCGCCCCCTAGGGCCGGCCCTGCCACCCGCTCCCTTTCCCTTAATAATGTTCTATGTGTTCCTTCTCTTCCCAAACATTTGATTTCAGTTTCTCAACTATGTCAAACTTCACAAATTACAACCCCAGTCCGCTCCCTGTATTTTCTAGGGATACTCTGTATCTCAATCTACTTACAAGTGTTTGGACCCCACTTTCAACCGTTTATATATCTCCTGTCATGTTAAATTTATTCCCCATATTTATCCCTCGACTACTAATCCTCAGCTACCCTCCTTTATTTCTCCCAGTTTTGTGTCTTAAGTACGTCCACCTATCTCCCCTCATACAACCTCTCAACTCATACACCCCTCTCCACATGATCAGTCTCTTTCCACATTCCATACTCCTCGTCTTAGTCAACCTATATCCACTCAACAACTCGTACCTATTTCCCCTGCAATACAAAGACAACATCCTCCTTATACCAACCCTGCAGCACTCATTCATGAAGAGTCGTCCCCCTTCCATCGAGCTGTCTTCCCAGGTGCTTGAGTCGCCACCTCTTGTCGAGTCTTCCTCCCAGACTACTGAGTCGTTTCCTCTCACTTGCTCACAACATCCCAAACATCCCAATCCTAAATACTTTGGTCCGTCTTATGTCAGTCTTACCACATTTCATCCTTCTCTGCCCACGATTGAACCTAGGACGGTCACTCAACCTCTCAAAGATTCACTCTAGTGGGTGGCTATGGATGAGGAAATCTCAGCTCTTCGGAAGAATAATACACGGGATCTTGTCCCTTTTACTGGCCATCACATTGTTGAGTGCAAGTCTGATGGTTCTGAACACCGGTATAAAGCCCGCTTGGTTGCCAAAGGTTTTTCTCAGGAGGCTGGTCACAATTACATTGAAACATTTAGTCCGGTTATGAAACACGTGACTGTTCGCATTGTGTTATCCTTGGCTTTGAATAATGGGTGGTGGACTTGATATTAATAATGCATTTCTTAATGGCACTTTTCATGAGGTTGTTTGTGTAGCTCACCCTCCTGGTTATATTGATGCTAAGTCTCCTACACATGTCTGCCGTTTGCGAAAAGCACTCTATGGTTTAAAGCAGGTCCCTCAGGCATGGAATTTTGAACTCTCCACCTTTTTACTCACTTTTGGATTTCAAAAGTCCAAGGCTGATTCATCTTTATGTGTCTACACTTCTCGTGGGATCATCTTGTATTTTCTCATTTATGTTGATGATATTGTGCTCACTGGAAATGATAATGCTTTTGTTGATCGATTTGTTCTTTTAATTGTTAAACGCTTCTCCTTGAAAGACTTGGGAGCTCTACATCATTTTTGGGAATTGAGGTGGTCACAACATCTACAGGTTCATATTTGTCCCAATCCCAATATATTTCTGCTAAACCAGTATCTACGCCCATGGCTTCTCATGAAAAGTTTCCTCCTGCTGATACTTTGCAAATGGCTGATTCCTCTGATTATCGACGGCTATTGGGTTTCCTGCAATATCTTGGTCTGATCAGACCTGATATCTCATTCACCGTCAATCGTTTATCTCGGTATATGCATGGACCGCTAGCTGCTCATTGGTTGGCAGCTAAACGTGTGTTACGTTATCTCAAGTGTACAACCTGTCATGGCCTTTTTCTGCATCCTGGATCACGCCTTGCACTCACTACATTTGCTGACGTAGACTGGGGAGGTTTTACTACATCCATCCATTCTACTATTGCGTATATTATTTATCTTGGCTCTAACATTATTTCTTGGAAGTCTGCTCTCCAAACATCTATTTCTAGGTCCTCAATCGAGGCCGAGTATTGGGTCATTGCAAATGCCACTATTGAGCTTCTTTGAGTTAAAAACTTTCTGAATTGCGTGTTTCCTCAACTGGGGTTCCCTCATTATATACAGATAATATAAGTGCTACATATGTGTGTAAAATCCAGTGTTTCACTCCCGCATGAAGCACCTTTGCTTGGACTATTTCTTTGTTCGTGACCTTGTAGCTTCCGATTCCTTATCCGTTCATCATGTTCACTCTAAGGCTCAACATGTAGATGCTCTCACTCAGCCCTTGGGTCGCTCTTCCTTTCTTTCTTTTCGGCCCCCCAAGATTGGCGTCTCCGATGGATCCTCCATCTTGCAGGGACGTGTTAAGGATAAGTCTTAGTTATTCGTTATATTTATTAATTCTTGTAATTATAAATATGTACAGTTGGTTGTAGTTATCTAATACGCAAAGTTATACTTGTAGAGTTAGATTTGAACTCTAACCGATGTACTATTTATTCCCTATATTGTATCTCCCTGAAGTACTGAATAATACATTCGTATAAACCTTATATTTAACTGAATAAAGAATTGGAATAATAAATTTCTTTCTAGAGCGAGGAGGGAGATTCTTCTAAAAAATATGATTCAAGCTATGTCTACTTACACGATGAATGTTTTTTTTTTGCTACCAAAACATATTTGTGAAGAGATAGCTAGACTAGATTATGAATGGCGTTTGAAAAAAAAAGGAATTCAGTGGAATGCATGGAAAGGGGGATGTGATTACCTAAGGAATCAAGGGAAATGAGGGGGGGGGGGGGGGGGGGGGGGCAGACTCTTTGAAAGTTTAACATAATGTTGCAATGCTAATAGCTAAGAAAGCTTGGAGGTTGTTGACAACGACACATAGTTTAGTAGGGCTGATTTTTAAAGAATATTCTCTAATTCATGCTTTTAGAGAGTTAGACTTGGATGCTTCTCTTCACACACATATATTAGAGATCAAATATAAACTATGCTTAATTTACTAACCTACAAACTCAATAATATACAACACTTTGAACTTCAATATGCAATACAAATAATGTAAAGATGCACACTTTGAACTTCAATATGCAATATAAATAATGTAAATATGAAATTGCTATTTGTATGGCTTGAATAATATGCAACACTTTGAACTTCAATATAAAATACAAATAATATAAAGATGCACAGTTTGTAGGTTAGCATGAGAGGACTTGTTTGTATTTGATCCCACCTATATACACACACACACAAATCATGCTGAAATGACTAACCTATAAACTCAATAATATGCACACTTTGAACTTTAATATGCAGTACAAATAATGTAAAGAAACACACTTTAATTTGAACTTCAATATGCAAAACAAATAATGTAAATATAAAACTGCTATTTTTATGGCTTGAATAATATACAACACTTTGAACTTCAATATAAAATACAAATAATATAAAGATGCACAGTTTGTAGGTTAGCATGAGAGGACTAGTTTGTATAGGACCCCACCCCTGAAGTTCAAAGTGTTGCATATTATTCAAGACATAAAAATAGCAGTTTCATATTTAAATTATTTGTATTGCATATTGAAGTTCAAAGTGTGCATCTTTACATTATTTGTATTGCATATTGAAGTTCAAAGTGTTGCATATATACTATTGAGTTTGTAGGAAACTAAATTAAACATGGTTTGTATTTGATCTCTAATATATATCTCTACAATATTATAAGAGTGAATATTGTAAAGGATAAAATGATAACTAACAAAATGTTGGTGTCTCTTGATGCATATTGTCATTGTACTCTATGTTTATTTTATTGTGTATCCTTAACATCCTTCTACTTCCGTTGCTAACGGACACGTTCAGAGAAACATGTTTGCCTTTCAACTTCTCCTCTCCATTTCAGCGCCCTAGCATATCTCGCCTCCGCAGTGGTAGCCGGTGAAAGTGCATAAGATGTAACATTTGAATGGGACGAGAGTGTTGGAATTCAATGTGCATTTGTCATCGAGAACAACACTTTTCGTACTCAAAGGTCTAAATGGATTATCGATTATAAACTATTTGTTGCAGGGAGGCGATTTTCCACTTCTTCCACTATGTAAATAACAAGGACATTTTTATAATTTTCTAAACAAAAAACCACCACCAAATTGGGAGTTTTTATATTCTATCTAATAAAAATACGGCCAACCTTTTCCATTTAAAGTAAGGAATATGTAGCTAAAATTAATTCTCTCTGATCTAAACAAATTTCAAACACACAATTTTTACTTTATTAATGCACGTGAAAGTCAACTTTGGCCAACCTTTTCAGGACGGAGGGAGTATAAGTGTATATAGCACATACTATGTAGTACGTACCAGTAGTTATTAGTGAGTATATTTTCATAATAATAAAAGTTTGGACAGTAACATACGTAGTATCACTTAGATTATAATGTCCAATCAGAAAGGATCAACTAGGACCATTGCGACTTTGATATACGTTCATAAAGAATACGTAACAAAATAGATGTCTAACTTTAATTTCCTTTTTTGGATGTCTAACTAATTTTGTACTTTCTCTTTTAAGTAAATAATTTGTGGTTTCAGTTAATTCTCAATCCTCTGCATAACTCTCAACCACACAGTTTTTACTTTGTTAATCATCGTGCTGCTCAAACTTGACAAAGTTTCAAAGGACGGAGGAAGTATGAAGTAAAAGGTTGTATTTTCAACCAGTGGCGGAACCAGGACATGTGACTCGCAGGGGCACAATTAACAAAATAGATTAGTACGAAGTATTATATGCATAAATACGTACTCTGAAAGTCCTGGCCCGCGGTAGCAAAACAGAATAGCATAAAAGCATATGCAGAAACCAGCAGCAACACCACTGATATCCTCCGACCCATTTAGCCGTAATACTAACACACTTATAGACACGTACGTAAGTATTGGGTGTATATATAGACACCACAGAAGTATATGATTTTTGGGAAAAGGATAAATACTTGAGATTATTAGTTTCGATACCAAGTTGATGGGAAAACAACAGAAATATTGGGTGTATATATAGTACGTTGGAGACGACACAATGGGTCCCAAACCCATACATCCTGCAATAATCAAAGGGGGAATATGATCTGACCACTTTACAGTTGTTCGTTCTGTCAAAAGGTAGATCGAGTCGTGTGAGGAACGAAGGTACGGTGGTTTTCTATACACATAAACAGACCTATGTGTCTGTGAGAGTTTTTTCTTCTTTAAATCCCAGTTTTGTCTGTGAACAGGGATTCATAAACAAAAAAACCTCTCACAGACACATAGGTGTACTAATGTGTATAAGAACGTGTATACCGAGAATTTTTGATTGGTTTTTCAGTTTTCTTTCCATACAAAAAAGTTAAATGTAGTAATAGTTGAGTAGTACTCCTTCCGTTCCAAAAAGATTGATCAAATTGACTTTTCTTTTCTTGATCGATAGTGACCGATCTTGACAAATGATATCTTTAATACAAAATTATTTAAAATATGAAAATTATATGAGCATATTCTTTATTAAAAAAACTTCATAAAAGTATAAACTTTATAAATTGCACACAAATATAATACTCCATCCGTTTCACAATCTTTGACACACTTTCCTTTTTTGACCGTTTCACAATCAATGACACACTTCCTTATTTCCTTATTTGGTAAACAAATCTTTACCAAAACAATGCAAAACAGTGTCAAATAGTGTCAAACAGTGCCAAACAATGTTCAAACAGTGCCAAATAGTGTTCAAACAGTGCCAAACAGTGTTCAAACAATGTCCTCCGTTTCTGAAACAAGTTCCACATTTGACTTCACACATATTAAGAAAATAAATTTGACTTTACTGTGGAGTGCACTGTTTGACACTGTTTGAACACTGTTTGGCACTGTTTGAACACTGTTTGACACTGTTTGACATTGTTTTGATGTACTCTCTCTGTTCCTAAATAAACTTCCAACTTTCCTTTTTCGTCTGTTCCAATTAAATTTTCACTTTCCCTTTTTGGTAAAGAATTTGTGATTCACAACTTTTCTTACACATTTCTCTCTCCTCTGCACAACTCTCCACCACACAATATCCACTTTTCTTAAATTGTGTGCCAAAGTGGGTTGTAAGATAAAATGGGAACGGAGGTAGTAGATAATTTGTCAAATAAGGAAATGTTTGAAAGTGGAACTTAATTTTGAATCTCCCGAAAAGGAAAAGTGGAACTTGTTTCAGAAACGCAAGGAGTATGACAAAGATTATATAGGTCTAGAGGAATAGAGACTACTAAACATTCCTATTTTGAGAAGCCGCATGGAAACATATTCCGTATAATCTGATCCTTACAATGATAAATAAATTGTAATTGACGCATATGCGTATGCCATGACGCCATTATCACATAGAAAAATGGTCCCAAGTAGGATCAAAATTTTGCTTTTGTACGCGGATTTCCTACTTTTTTAAATCTAAATAAGACTAATGTTTTGTTAATCTCACTTATCAAGCCCGATCCTTGGGAGAGAGCAACAGGGGCAACCGCCCTAAGCCCCAAAATATAGAGAGACAAAAATAGGTCCAAATTTTATCTTCATATATAGTGTGAGTAGGCTTTTTATATTTATTTTTAAGTTCAATTATTTAATTTTTTTCCTAATTTTAAATTTCGTTGTCAATTTGAAAAAATAAAACATAATTAAAATGTCATAAACGAAGCCAAGTTTAAAAACAAATATACACTAGTTTTAAGTAGGATCAGTTGTAGTTTTTTAAGCAACCCAATGAATCAATAAAAGATATGTCCCTTCAGTCTTTAACATCTCTTTAGCTTTTTATGTTTTGATTTTAATTCTTTTAAGCGAGTATTGACTATTTTTCTTCACATCTGCGAGAAACAATTTAAGTATTTTTTATGTAATATTTGTGTCGTTACGTTTGCCCAAATAAGTACTTTAAATCACATTTTTTCATGATCTTTATTAGATATTTTTGTCATAATTCAAATTTTAATATGTATAGTTTACAGTTTATCTTATAAATAAGCCCAGTATAGTATATCTCGCCCATAGGCACAAAAATGATCAGGACCGGCCCTGATCCCACTTTTGCCCTTGATTTAATTGTAACACATTAGCAGCACTCTTCTTCATTTGATCTGGAGTGCACTCTTCCTTAGTCAAAAAACAGAGGCGGAAAATGAATAAGATGAGATGGGATAGTTGAGCGGCACCAGCAGGCTCGAGCTGATGAAAAAAAATAGATGATGGACAACAACAACGAGGTGCAGGGCGCCGCCGATGAAGATGATGACCGAGACGGATACCTGGAATCTTGCACCGCTTCTCAGTTTGAATTCTCAATTCGCCGCTGCAAGTGAAGGTTGCCGGAGATGCTTCTAGAGGTGAAGAAGTGGCTCGTCGGAGTTGCAATTTGTTCGAGAACTGTTATATTAAAAAATCTTAGATGACAAATTTGAAGAATTAAGGCTATGATGTAAGAGCCGGGATGCTGAATCGGCTGAAATATCCCCTGCAAGTCATTTTTCAATTTTTTCATTATTTGTTTTGTTTAATCTTTTTTATTCCTTTATTTCTTATTTTAAAATTGAATGAATATTTTATCTTTTTAACATATTGTAAAGTCATGAGAGAGGTAAATCATTGCTCCGGCTGCCGGAGGAAGGTCGATTTGACCGGGTTCTGCTAAGGTCCGACGATGGAGTTTGAATGGTTCAAATTTGGTGTTCGTTGTTGTGAGGTGTAGCTGTTTTGTTTGTTTCGCAGAGAGAATGTCAATCAAGTTGGGGGCGAAGGGTATTTGTGTCCCTTCATGTGAAAATTAGTCCTATGAGTGAGGATCAAATAAGGTCTTCTACTATTATGAAATAATCACATAAGACAATGTATCCAATAAAGTGTCATATAAGTACCTCTACTTGTATAAATCAATCAAATGAGTCCTAACGGCTTATTTAACACCTCCTAATCCCGATTTTAGCTTACATGTCGATTTTTTTGACTTGTATTTCAACCAATCTTAGTTAAATATTCAACATATGTCGTATAATGTATTCTAAAAAGATGGTCAGAAGTACGTTGAAACCGGGTGTGACACTTCAAAAATTTAAATAAAAATAAAAATAATTTTTATTAGTCAGATAAAATGTTACGGAAATGACATTTTAATTATTAAGTGAGTCAAACAAAAATTTAACAGTTGTGACAATCTAACCAGATAAAAATTTCCAAGTTTACAACATTTTAGTCAGATAAAATGATCCGATAATAAAAGTAACGTTATACACATGGTGTAAAAGATAAAAGTTATTTTAACTATTATAAATTTTGTAGCAAATACAACTCGACCTTCTAAAACTATTATACGCTTAATGCTAAATAAACCTACGTACGTATTAGGTAGTACGAAGTACTACGTAATAATAACTAACTGTATATAAAATATTCCTACGTACTAACATGTACTTTGATAACTAACGTAATACGTATGTTGAGGTTTATTCCCTCAACCCGCAGGCCCAACACGTAACCTGGGGGGTTCGAATGGGTGAAGGACAAATGAGATCACTAGACAACGGGGAGTGTGCCAACAACTGTATTTAATTCACTTCAACGATTACAAGTCGAAGGGTCGAACGTCCTAAGCTAAGCCATGAGCTGTTATTGCTATTATCGTGCTCGAGAGTCAAAATGCGAACCCTTTACAACGAAAAAAATGCGACTATTTATATTATCCCAGGGTGGTTGGGGGGCTGACGTGGCTGGCTGTGGGCGACATGATCCCAACCACCAAATCTCCCGCATTTAATGTGTTTCCCGCCAGGATCTTGGCTTCCCGCCATGACGTGGGGACGTTCGTCCCTCAGACTAGACCCAACTTCTTGGTGGCACCTTGGACCCTTGGATAGAAAACCCATAAGACGTACGTCCCCTAGATCCTGAAGCTTGGTGACGCTGGACTACGTACGTCCCCGGGTCCTTAAGCCCTGGAGCTTGGTCATGTTGGACTACGTACGTCCCCTAGCCCTTGGCCCTGAAGCTTGGTCACGCCGGACTACGTACGTCCCCAGGTCCTTGAGCCCTAGAGCTTGGTCATGCTGGACTACGTACGTCCCCTGGCCCTGGAGCCCTGAAGCTTGGTCCTGCAGGGCTACGTACGTCCCCTGGCCCTTGGCCCTGAAGCTTGGTCATGCTTGACTACATACGTCCCCTGGCCCTAGAGCCCTGAAGCTTGGTCCTGCTGGGCTACGTACGTCCCCTGGCCCTGGAGCCCTGAAGCTTGGTCCTGCTGGGCTACGTACGTCCCTTGGCCCTTGGGCTTCCTTTTGGGCCCGTTGCCAGATGTTCTCGTGCAGCCCAAAGGGGTTGATGGGCCGGCCCTTGTTAGGCCATTAACCCAACACAAGTCCCCCACTTCTGATGTTTCGAGCGTGCGCGGGACATAAAGAAGTAGGTAGCTTCCGCCGTACTACCTCGGGCCGTTACTTCCCTCCCCCTGAAGCGACGGTTGCTTTCCAGCCATTGTTCGCGAGGCTCGAGGTGCCATCTGTCCAGACCGGTTCAACTTCCGACGCAAAAGTAATCATTTCGCACCTGTCCGTCTCTACGTGACACGCGTCCCTGAGTACGCTCCTTGCCACACGTCATCCGTGGGTTGGCCACTGAACCGGTGCCTCCCCTTATAAATACTGGGATCGCAGGCATGGTTAGGGCTTTCCATCCTTTGCTTCCTCCTAATTTCCCAGTGTCGTCCAACGAGTGTCTCTGGTTTCCGCGTTCGTCCCTTTTCCAAGATCCCCGCAAGGTAATTCTTCGATCCAACCCCTTTCCCTTTCTTTTCGTAACCCTCCCCATGGCCTGTTCCACGGAAATTTCCTCCGATTCGGCTACTGGTTCTAGTTCCTCTACCGGCTCTTCAGCCGGTTCTTCTTCTGCAACGAAGCCCAGATCCCGTCCTCGGAGGGGGCGAGTGGTTCTGGCCGTTCTAGTGCT